TTACCTGTCAATCCAAAAATCAAAATGGAATTGGATATAAGAGGTAATCCACTAAATCGAGTAAATAGGTTATCACAATGGATTAATTTGAGTCACTTGGCAATTCCTGATAGAATATTATATAATAACAGCAAAGATTTTCGAAAATTGCTTAACCTCAAAGTAATTACAATAGGAAGATGTGTACATGCTCCTATGGAAGAATTTGATAAGTTAGTTGATAAATTTCCAAACTTCAAATTGACTTTCGTTGAAAGACCAAAGATATCACATAGGTGGGATTTTAGGGGTTGGGTTATACACACAGAGTACTTGTTGTAGTCCATATAAGTGCTGATGTTTTTATCCACCATAGCAGTGTTTCTTTTGCATTTTCAAAGCATTCATTATTATTTTTTTATAATTATTATTTATTCTATTCAACCTTCAAGAAAACTGTGACTCTTTTATTTGGTCCAATTTCTTTAAACACATTATTAATGGATATTCTTCAATTGATGAAACCAAACCAGTTTTATTCTGCTTTTTATCTAGGAATGTCATATCAATAAAATTACTCACAGTTTCTTCATTATTCGAATCATGCAGATTTTTATAATATTTAATAGATGAACTTCTACCGAGCTTTATTTTAATGGCATTTTAATTCATAACCGAAAGGCCATTGAAGTAAAATCTTTAAAAGAGTAATTTTCTTAAGAAGCTGATTAATTTGAAATGCATTTCTTTAGATAAAGGATCACCATTTACTCCATTGTTATCTGTTTTGTTTTAACAAAGAAATACTTAATATTGTTAATATTGTTAATACTGTTAATACTGTTAATACTGTTAATACTGTTGAGCGAAGATTGAGGAGTAAAGAACTTGTTGACTTTAGATTGGCAGCGATATTTGAATAGAATCATTTGTGAACAATTGAATAGGTATGAGAATGATGTAACAAGAAAAAAGTATACACTGATGATGTTACAAAAAGAATGTGAAAGATGATTCAGTATTTGATTCAATAGTGGAAATTGATAAAGAAGAAAGTTTTTCCAACTATAAAGAATATCACAAAATATTTATGATGGTTTATGGAATAACAAAAGTTGCAAGTGAATTATCAAGAATAACTAAACCATACATTGTTCAAGGTTATCCACCATTATTAGCTAATAGTAACTTGGTTTAGGATAGATTATGGTAAGAGGTTACTTACATGATGTGATCCAAACATTTTATTTGGTAAAAGGTTGTAAAAAGAAAAGATAAAAGAAGAAATTTTTAATAGTCCAATAAGATCGTTTTTTAGTAAAAGGAAAAAATAATTTAATAACGATCTTTTAAAGAATATCAACTCAAGAACTGCATTAAGTGCTAGCAATATTGAGATATCAATATACTTGACAAATAATTTTTCCCAATGAAAATCATTTAAAAGGCTATGGATACCCATAAGCTCAGTATTATTGTATCTGGAGTATTCTCTAATAATATTTTCTAGCATATTCTAATGGATATTAATAATATTTTCTAACTGAGTAAGTTTATTACTGTCATCTGGAAAGTTTATAACTGCATCTTTTAAATATTGAACTTTATTTTGGACCTTGGTAAATTGCTCAATATTACTCTTATAGTGAATGAAAGAAAATGGTTTTATAGCTTCTAAAAGAGCATTTTTTGATGTCATTTGGTATCCTAATATTTGCAATGCCTGCGACGAAATTTGGGAGTTGTTTGCATCTGGTGCATTTTGTTTTAATAATTCGAAAAGTGTAGAATTCGAGATAACCTTTAAGAATAAAATGTTGTTAACTATGGAGTACAAATTATCAGTAAATGTGATTGAAAAGGTTTCAGTTTTTGTGAATATGCCATATATAACAACCTCACCATTAAAAATCTTAATATCACAGCTGTTAGAGTATCAATACTTTACATCAATGTTATTTTTTTGGAATTTATCATCATACAATTTAAGGCCTTCAACCACCATTAATACCTTCAAAGGGATATTAAAAATGTAATTAGAAAATCTATTAAATTTTTGGACCAAGATGTCTTCAATGAGATAGCTTTGGTCTGTGCAGCACCAGTTCTTTATGAATGAAGCTAATTTTTCTTTAGTAGTTTTCTCATTTGCATTACTTATTTGGAGTAAAACAGGAGTAGAAGTAGAAGTAGGAGTAGGAGTTGAAGAATTCTCTTTTGAAATATTTTTCTCTTTATTCATCGAGCCATCAGCATTCCAACCATTTATCTTAGCACTTTGGATTTCTGATGCGCCACCATTTTGGACTTCTTTACCTTCACTATTGCTTTCATCAATCGTTGAGCTATCTGGTATACCTGGACTAGTGTTACTGTTCATCTAACAATTATAGATTCCAAGTGGTTAGTGAAGAGCAAAAGCTAGGTTTCTGCTGCTTCTGTATCCAATGGTGTTTTCTGTGCTGTTCCATTGTCTGTGTTTTTGATCTGTGCACAAACAGAGTTATTCCAGAAGAATACAAATTCTCATAGCAAATATATCAAATCTAAACAAAATTCCAACCATCTATTGGTCAGGCGTATGAGATTTTATTTGGTAAAATAGCAAAATGTACGATATAGTGCAATCACTGCAATAAGAATTATAACTTTCTTTAAGAATCTTTTGTATTTCCTTTTTCTGTTAATAACACTTAAAATCTTATTAACCCCTATAAGTTTGGAAAAATTGGCCAATTTTTTTTTCTGGAAAACTAATTGCTGATTCTTGGATTCAATTAGTTGAATGTATTCTTCTAGTTGATCTAAAATCTTATTTAGGTTCTTCTCTAAACTGTTATCATTGTTATCGAAATCTGCTTGTTGATTGCCCTTTGAAAGCAAGTTATCTTCATTATTAGCATTATTATTAAGATTTAGATCATTGATGTTCATCTTTGATTTGAAATTAAAGGTTATTTCAACATTTCCATTGCTGTCATTGGAACTTATTTTCTGACGCTGAATAGCATTGTTATTGAAATTGTAGTAGGCTTTCAAAGCATTTAGTTTATTTCTGTAGATTTGAAGGAACTTCAAGTAATCTTCAACCTCGATAAGCTTGAAATTCAAGCTATCATAATCATTGTTCATAATTTCTGAGCTGATCTGTTGAAGACTGTACTTGGATTTATTTATCTCATCTGAAATTGTAGTATTAAAGAAGAGTTTTTCTTGGTCGTCTTTCTCGACATTACTTCCATCTTGACTTTTCTGATCATTAGGAGTTTTCTTTGCCAAAATATTGTTTCTATTGTTTCTATAGTTTATAAAATACTGTTTATCAAGTCTAATTGGTTTTGGAGGGCGTTTTTCAACATTGCCATTGCCATTACCATGATCTTCACCACCACCACCCTGACCATCACTACTAGTAACACTGTTGAAACTGTTATTTCCTGCTATTCTTAAATCTAGTAGCTGAAATGGCTCTTTCAAAGCAGGCTGCTCGTTTATTTTATTGGTGCTTTTATTGTTGAATTCAGCAATACGCCTGTTGTTAATATCGTTGAATTTGATTAGTTCTTTCAAGAAGTTAGACTGCAAGTTCTTTTGCAAATCAAGTGGTTTTTTATTCTCGCTACTAGTGAGCTCAGCATTCAAGAACGAAGGTCTAGACATTTTCCACTGCTCATTTGTATGGTATAGCTGGTGAGGATGGTTTGGTAGTCTTCTTTTCAATAATTCTTTCACAGAACTTTAAAGCTTATCAAAGACTGAGAAAGAATGTTGCTATTTCAAAGAATTCAAAATGTGTGCTTTTTTTGCTACAAATTTCTGAATAACTCAAATAAAAACCCCAGTTTTTTTCAAATTAAATCTAATAAAACTATATAATTGATAAATAAAAGTTTCCATTCTAGTTCTATATTGTTGTTTTTTGCAGAAGAAATATAAAAAAAATAAGTGAGGTGAAACAAAATGAACTAAAATAGTATGAAATAAAATAGTACGAAATAAAATGAAGTAAAATAAAGTCAGACCAAATAAGATTAAAATAAACTCTTTCACTTGATTATATCCTTTTAAACTTGAATATACTTGTTTTTTTTTAAAAAAAAGACCTTTTGAATAAATTATAATTGCAAGCCTTCTAGTCTATCAATTGCACCTTTTATTTTCATTGAAATTCTTGCACTAAGTTCGTAATCGTCTTCATAGTTTTGTGCATAATGCAACCATTGTTTGCATTCTTCTAAACCTTCCACATCAAATTCTTTCCAAGTAAACAATGCACGCTCATATAAAGCTGTTGGATATAACCAAGGATCGTGGTTCAATTTAATTAATTTGCATCCACCAGGGAGACTAGAATCAAATGCAATAATATTCTGCAAAACCATTTCATCTAGTAATTGTCTGCCTGAAGCAATTTTGCCCAATCTTCTAAGTGTGATAGCTTCAAGGGTGCATCTTATCATTTTTTCATTTTCGTCTTCATCGATTAGTGCATTGATTGATGAATGATAATCTAATAATTTTAAAGTGAGTTCAAGATGGTCAACTGGCATTCTATTATAGCCATTCCAAAAATAAGCGAGTTCGTGTGCTAATGAAGTTCCTACACAATCAATGAAGGGTAATTTATATCTATTTTGTTTCTTTTTAATTGAGTCAATTTTTCTTAATAAGAATCTATCAAAGGGCATTTTTCTATTCATAAAGTTTTTTTTTTCTATTAAATCCGGAGATTGCAAGATTTTTAATTCAGCTTCTTTTGCATACCAGTTTTGTTTGTCGATTACTGTATTAATGCCATTTTTGATATCAAGATCAGTTAATTCATATAGATTTAACTTACACATTCTATAGCCTTCCAAATAACAAGCGCCGGCAAAGAATGAGTATAGTGCATGAGACCAAGCGTTAATTTGAATTAAATAAAGAAATTCATTTGCAGCTCTCTCATAGCGATGTAAAAACACCAAGATCATTGCTCTATCGAACACTAATAAAGCTTCGATTTGTTTCATTTTGATAGTATTTTGGTTTGAAAAATTGTCCATGAGATCAACTGCTTTTACTAATTTGCCCTTTGAGGCCAACATTCTTGCTTCTTGTAATAGCCATAAAGCTGAGTGAGGAAATAAGGATCTTGATTTCAATAGAGCGATTTCAAGGTTTTTACCTGGATGTAATAAAGTTGGTAAACCGTTACCGACAATTGCCTTTGATTCCAAGATAGTTTTCTTTCTGCTCAAGGTTCTTGATACAGATAAAGAGTTTTTTTTATTGGATATAGTTGAAGTGTTAGAGTAGATAATTGATAGTCTTTTGAATTTACACTCTTTATTGTCTTGATTAATGATAGTGTTTTCATTTTCATTATGAATTTCATTTTCATTATGAATTTCATTTTGATTTTCATTTTGATAATTATGGTTTAAAGTTGGCGGCAAGTCAAAGTCTGTATCAATAAACTGTAAAGGACCATCGTAAAAAGTAAGTAAACCTAAAGTAGCTAATGAACCATGTATATTACGTTCCTGAGATGCTTTCCAGAGCATTTTAAGACCTATTTCTCTTGAACCTTTAAAACCAACAATAGAGAGCACCTTGCCAATGGCAGGAGGAATTAAAGAGAGAACCACCTGAAGGATTCCGAAACAAAGGTTAACACCAGAGTGGATAAACTCATCGATGGTTGAAAAATTCAAATTATCTGGAGTATGATTTTTGTTTTCATTTAGTAGATTTAAAAAACTTTGTTGATAAATAAAATCATTTTTATAGTTTTTATAGTTTGTAGTATTTTCCGATATTGAGGATAAATTTGGGGTTGATTGAGAGTAGCTAGTATTGAGATTTGAGTTAAGATTTGTATTTTTAGATTTTTTGGATTGTTTGATGGCATTGATATGAGAGCCATTGAATCGGGATGATTTCATTTGATAGCATTTTTCGGCTTTTTTAATGATATTTAAATCATTTTGCTGTTGAGTAGTCAACTGAAAAGGGATTTCATTAAAGAGATGAGAATTTTTTTTATAATTGATTTGAGAAGCTGAAGAATAGTTTGATTGCAAGGAGACTGCACTTTTACTTTGAGGTTTATTGGGGATGATGTTTGAATTTGTTTCAGAAAAAAGAGAGCTTGAAGAAGAAGAGGACAATGATGATGAATTGTTGTTGTTGTTGTTGTTGTTGTTGTTGTTGGTGGTGGTGGTGGTGGTGGTGTTTTGAAGATTGCTTTCGTAGCTGATAAATGCTTTATTAATTTCATTTAATTGATGATAAGCTTTTCTTAATTTATATAGAGCCTTTAAAGAGTCGATAGCCGATTCATTCAATAACATAATAAGGGCATTTAATAGAATTGATTCAGCATAGGTTAAGCTGTATAAAGTTCCAATTGGGTAGATTGAAGAGTTTTGAATGTTGTTATTTAGTTGTAAATTTTTGAATTTCAAGGAAAGATTTTCAGATTGGTATAGGATTTCGTTTGTTTTTTTGATTGAATCAGGCTCAAACCCCAAAGTTGCCTCTATGAACGAAATGACACTCAATGCTAGAGTGGTTATGGCCTTTTTCTTTGGAAAATTGTTTTCCAACAAATCAATGCCCAACTTCTGGTTGTCGTCAAACAAGTAGTCCATGGCCTTTAAAGCTATTTCAAAATCGTGGATTTCGTCGAAAATGAGCTCCAAGTTGTCTGTAGATGTGGTGGGCAAGTTGGAAAGAGAAGAAGCAGAGGAAGCAATGGAGGAGGCAGAGGAGGCAGTAGCGCCAGAGGAAGCAGCCTTGGAGCTGGACTTGGAGGCAGATCTAGAGCCAGAGCCCATTCCCAAGATCGAGCGAAACATCTGGAGCAGCTTTTTCTAGCAATGATCTGACGGAAGAGGTCTTCTGGAGAAAGCACCAGTGGGAGGCAGAAAAAGCACTTTGTTGCTGGCTGCGCTGTTCATTTTGCACCAAACAAAGACTCTTTCTCCACCACCAGACCCAAATCCACCACTAGCAGCGCTTCCGGAAGCACGTGAGATGCGTATCACTGCATTGTGATGTTGGGTTGCGCTGGAATGCAGATACACACGACAGCGTATGGATAACGTGATCTGTGTTACCCGTCTGCTGTCGGCAGCGGTTTTTTGTGCGACGGCCATTGGCTGGCACGAGATTGGCTGGCATTGTATAGCTCTGGAGGTGAAGAGAGAGAAAGGGCAGGACGAGCAGTTACTGAATCACAGTGAAATATCGCCAGCATGTATCGTTTGTCCAGGCCTGCTACCTTCAATGCGTTGAAGTCTGCTGCTTTTTCCAAGAGCATCTTGAAGTGTGCTTCGACCCAATTGGTTTTGGCCAGCTCCAGTCGTTCTTTCTCTGTCCACCATTCCTTGAGAAACAACTTGAAAATTACCACTGATATTGATAAGTCTCTCAAGACCAATGTTCCTCCTTCTTCCTCTACCACTGTTCCTCCAGTTGAGCCAGTTAAGACAGACAGTGGGTCGAATGAGTCCAACGAATCCAAATCAGAACCCAAAACAAAAAAGAAACATCCAATTAGAAGATTTTTCATCAAATTATCATTATATTCTTCTCTAGTCTATTTAACTGCCATTTGCTTGGCATTGAACAACGATTTCATCAGGAAAAACTTGATCAATCTTATTCCAATAAGTGAAAATGTCATCAACTATATTAAGAAAAACGAAATCGATGACAAATTGAAAGATAAAATTAAAAATTTTGATTTCAATCAGCTCAAAAATGACTTGAACGATGGCTTTGAATCCTTGAAAAACTTTAAACTTAACGATATCAAAAAAATCTACTCAAATATCAACTTGAATGAAATCGATTTATCAATTGATGAAAATAAAAAAATCGAAATGAAAAATAAAGTTGCTTCCACTTTAGAAAATGTAAAGGATAAATCAACCGACTACATTGATCAATTATCAACCACTTTAAAGAATTTCCATAAATTAACCATTCCAAAAATCGAATTCAAATCAAATGATCAAGAATTAAACGATACAATTGGCTCTTTCAATACTTTAATTGAATCTATAAATAACAGTAAATCATTTACCGATGACCAAAAAATCATATCTCTAGACTTGATTAATTCAATTCAAGGCTCAATCCAAAACTTGTCCAATAAATTATCCGATTTTAACGACAAAAACGACCAAATTCTCAAAAAATTCAAAATCCAAATTCAACAAGATAACGATAAAAAAATCATTGAAAAGGAAAATCAAATCATCAATAAAATCTTAAACGACTTTAACGACGAAAAAAAAAAAATTGAATCTCTATACAAGAAAAAACTAATCAACGAAATTAATTCAACAAAGGAAAATATCTCAAAACAAATCTTGAATCAATTCCAAGCTTTGAAAATTCAACAATTGAACGAAATCTCAAAAGTCATTGACGAAAAAATCCAAAATGAAAGAAATGGCAAATTAAAAAGTTTATCCCAATTAGGTGATAAAATAAGTAACTTGACCAAATTCTCAATTCAATTGGAGAAGAACATATTAAAATCAGAAAACTTTGCTAAAATTCAATTGGTCTTGGCCAAAATCAATTTAATTCTACAAGATAACTCAATCGACAAGGAATCAAAATCTTTGCTTGAAGAAATTAATACTTTAAAACAGTTGACTAAAAATGACGAATTAATTTCAGTGGCCATTGATTCATTGCCTGAGGATGCTATTGAGCATGGCGTATTAACCAAAAGCCAACTATACTCAAGATGGCAATTATTAGTTCCTGAATTAAGAGCCTCATCCTTATTACCTCCCAATGCTGGTTTGTTAGGTCATTTAACAAGCAGACTCTTTAGCAAAATCTTAATTCCTAAAAAGGGATCTCCCAGCGGAAAAGATATGGAATCAGTATTAGCAAGAGTGGACAATTCATTGAAATTGGGCAAAATCGATGATGCAGTCGAAGAAGTCTCAAGTTTGAAAGGTTGGAGCAGAAAATTAGCCGACGATTGGGTCGTTGAAAGTAGAAAAAGATTAGAAATTGAATTCCTACTTGGATTAATCAGCTCTCAATCAAAAATAATCTATTGATATACTAATATTATAAACCAATAACTTTGTTTCATTAAAGTTACTTGTTTATAGATATTTATATAGTTATATATTCAGAACGCTTTTACATCTCATTCATCATCTTCCTGCCAAAGCTACCGTCAGCATGGATATTGCAGTATACGCACACATACATTTCAATACACAAACGTAGGTGTCTGTGTGAGCCACAATAGTGGATTGTGCACGTGAAATCCTTTGGCGTGGATTTTAAATGGCATGTATTGAAATGCACCCGTACTGCTGGATCCTGATCAGCTGCTTTAGCTCCTTAAAATTCAGCTCTTTGAAGCGTTGACCTGATTTTTATCGTATTCTATCTCAGTTCATAAAACTGGCTTTTTTCTGTCTTTATTATCTTGCAATTGCTTTTCGTCGTCTACTGGACCCCATCACTGGCCTTTCTCTCCTGCTTCTGCCTCTTGAGACTCTTCTTCAGCACACCCAACTATTCTTTCTCTGTTGCTGTTTTCTCTTGGTTTTTGTTTTTGAACTGAAACTCCCAATTTAGCTCAAATTATAACAGAAACTAAAAACCCATCATCAAGAAAAAGAAAAAAAACTAGAAAATTTTTTCTATCTGTCAATTAATTTCCTATTCCTTAATTTTATCAATAGTAAACACTCCTTTAATTGTAATCTACCTATTATACCAAATATACTATACTATTCTTTTGATCCAATTAGCACCATGAACAATAGTCTATCTCCAAACCCTTTGGACATAATCAGCAATTTAGGTAATTCAAATCTAAATCAAAATGCAGGTGCCAATTCAAACATAAATCAAAATCCAATTCCAAACATCAGCCCCAACATGGGCAATATGAATATAAGAAACAACATGAATATCAACAATAACAGCAGCAACAATAATAACATTAATAGCAATAATATGATGAATAATAACCTCAATATTGATCAGCTTAATATGGTAGTGCCCAATTTAGTCGGTCTGCCTAATAATACTCTTAACCGTAACAATACCAATATCAATAATAACAAAAATATCAACATGGCTAATATGAACAATATGAACATGAATAACATGAATATGAATAATATGAACATGAATAACATGAATATGAACAACATGAACATGAACAATATGAATATGAATATGAACAATATGGGTATGGGCAATATGAATATGAATAATATGAATATGAATAATATAAATATGACTAATATGAACAGTATGAACATGAATAGTATGAACAACAACAACAATAAAACGATTAATATTGATCACTATAATGAAAACGTACCTTTCAATTCTTTAATGCCACAAAACGAAATCCAGCTCATGCAATTTCAACAACAAAAGAGACAATTCCAAAAATTTCACCAATCTCAACACCTTCAACAAAATCAACAAAATCAACAAAATCAGCAAAATCTACAGATCCCTCAACCCCAAGCTCAACAGGCACAACAGGCTTTGCAAATACAACAAGCTCAACAGATTCAACAAGCTCAGCAAATACAACAAGCACAACAGGCACACCAGGCCCAGAACATGCAGAAAGCGCAACAAATGCAACAAAATCAACAATTCCAACAACTTAATCCTCAAAAGAATAACTCTCCAGTGAATAATAATGTACCTACCAATACCAATGTTATTCCTAATGCTAACCCTATTGCTAATCCTAATGCTAATACTAATTCCATTGTAAATGTCAATGTTAATCCTAAGCCTGGTGCCAATATTAACGCTAATTCCAACACTAATACTAACATTTCCAATCCTAATATTTCTAATGCTAGTGTTAATCACAATATTAACTTGAACATTAATAATAATAATAATAATAATAATAATAATAATAATAATAATAATAGCAATAGCAATAATAACAGTAATTTTAATAATAGTAACTCTAGTAGTAACTCTAATAGTAACTCTAATAATAGTGGCTCTAATAACAGTACAAATTTCTCTATTCAAAATAATCAACAATCTTATCGATTTGCAGATTTTAATCCCAATCTGATTAATATTGATGAGTCATTAGATAAAATATTTAATTTAAAAAAACAAATTGATAATATCAGAATTAAAATGCTAAATTTCTTAAAATTATTAGCTACTTTTGATGAATTGAATAGTAACAGTATTAGTGTTAATAATATTAATAACTTTATGCCTAATAATATTGGCAATAATAACGATAGTATTGCTGCTTTTCCAAATAATCCAAATGCCGATAATAAAAACAATGTGAATAAGAACATGAGTAACAACTCTACACCAGCTTCCACGTCTGGTTCTGCAACTAACTCTTCGTTTATGCCTAGTAAAAATAATTCAAGTGAAAAGAAATTATTTGAGATTCTTTCGTATAACTTGCTCATATTAAGAAACACTTTAAAGAATTATTTGGACCAATATAATAAAATTTTACCCTTAATCGAATTGTCAAAACAACATCAAGGTATATCGCCCTCTTCGAATTTAAAATTCATTAACATCTCTGATACTGCTACTAATTTATATTCAATTACCAATGTTAATACCAATCATAATTCCAACAATGACGTTAGTGGAAATAATTCAATTGCCAATAACAATGGATTTAAAAATATAGTTTTGCTAAATAATCGCAATGGTTCAGCTTATAATAAAAAAAATGTGACTACAACATTGGGGAGAAAAAACTCCAAAGCCAAAATCACAGCAAAAAAATCAAGAAAGAATACAAATTCTCCAGCTTTGCCTACAATAACGTCTATTGATAATAACAATAATATAATAACTTCAAATTCGTCTTTAAATAATAGCAGTCTTCTCGGGAACAATTCTCCAGTGCTACCTAATGCAGGCAAAAATGCCAACATAAGTGCTAAAACTGGCAAGCCAAAGAGACCATATAATAAAAAAAATAAAGGCCCAAGGAAAAACTCAAAGGCTGCACAATCTCAAACTCCAAATATGAGTCAACAAACACTTACACTGCTCCCACTCAATACATCGAATACGAAAAATTAACTACTCCTTCTTTACTGATGTTTTTTATTTTACATATACTATTCCATTCATTCATCTCTTTTTTCTTCTTGCTTTAATTCATTTTCTTTATTTTCTTTATTTTCTTCATTTTCTTCATTTTCTTCATTTTCTTCATGTTAATTTTCTCTCCAATTTTTATTTTTGTTTCGATAAAAAGAATAATATCCTAATTTTTCATTATGTTTTTTTTCAAATTCTTTTTTTTTGGCTTGTTTATTTTTCCAAGCTTGGTTCAGTGTTCATTCAAATTGATCATATACTTTAATTAATCCTGGTTGGCTCGCTTTTCATTGACTTTGAATACCTGGAACTGCAAACATGCTTCTTTACTCGCGTCTTTGCTTACGTCTGGAAACACTCTCATCTGTTTGTAAACTGCAAAAGCACCAAAAACACCACAAGCACCACAAAATCTGCTCCAGAGTCGTATCTCGCCTCATCCAAGAGTGAGAGCACGTGGGCCCAGGCCGGTTTATCTTCCGGCGTCCTTTGTTCACAAAGTCGAGAGTAAGGGTGAAAGTAAAGAAAGAGATGAAGAAGAGGAAGAAGAAGCACAGAATAAAGTGGTCTCTGGCCATGGCATCACTTCCTCCAGAAAGAACTCCCTTGCTTCGAAGAGCTACCACTGTGTATCCCTTTCACGACTATTCCTTTAATGGCAGCTCCACCAGCCTTGCAATCCCTCCCTTGTTGAATTCAGTCTCCAGTGGTGGTCGAAAGTCGATCAGCCATGCTGGGTTTCGTCCTTCCTTTCTTCTTGCTGAACCTGCTTACAAGAACATCTCCAGTCTCGATGTGAATGGTCTGAACCATAGACCCAGCTATAACGAGCTTCCTGTCTTCAAAAACGATGGTGGTAACTTTCACTCGACCCAGGGCAGAATCGAAAGCTTGTACCAGATACGATCAAACAGATTAATCGGCAAGTCAAAGAGATTAGTTAACTGGGAAAACTACATTACTGATATAGACTCGCTTCCCAAGTCCATTAAGGACAAAAACCAAAAACTAGTTGACTATTACGAAGACCAGAATGAAATGATCCAAAGGTATATTAACATTGACAAGTTTCTAGATTCGGGAATCCAAAGCTTAATGATAAGACATTATGCAACTGATTTGCCTATGATCCAATCGCTAAGTTCATCTAGTTCAAATCATCTAGTCGATCCACTTGATGACGATACTGAAAACGAGAATATCAACAATATTAGTAACAATAACAATATCAACATCTCTACCCATGTTAACGTTGATAACAGTAAACTAGATGATAACCACCAGGTTTTCTCTTCCTTTCCTAATCTTGTCTCACCCAATATCATCTCTTCAACTGCCCAACTAATCGATAGAAGACAAGGCAAAGTTCCAGGCAATATTGACTTTGAAAGTAACTCTATTCTGGGCTACAACTTTGAAGAAGATGCAAGAATAATTGTCATTGCAATTTTAATTAACTATTTTATTAATGTGCTTTTATTAATTGGGAAAATCATCGTTACTATATTAACGTCTTCCATTTCCATTATGGCTTCGTTGGTTGACTCATTTTTGGATTTCCTATCAACAACCATCATTTATATTACTAATAAATACTCAAAGACAACAGATTGGAACTCCAAAAATAAATATCCAATTGGCAAATCAAGATTAGAGCCAATTGGGGTTTTGGTTTTTTCAATTATTATCATAATTTCTTTTGTTCAAGTTGGCCATGAAGCATTAGACAACTTACTATTCAATACTAGCAAAATACCAATTGAAATCGGACTTGCCTCGGTTTTCATCATGTCAATGACCATAATCATTAAAATTGGCTGCTGGGCTTGGTGTAAAAGTATCAAATCATCTTCAGTGCAAGCACTAGCTCAAGATGCTGAAACCGATGTTGTCTTCAATGTTTTCTCTTTAATCATGCCTTTATTGGGCCACTGGTGGGATATTTGGTGGTTTGATCCAGCTTGTGCTTTAGCGTTAAGTCTTTATATTGTCATTTCTTGGAGTTTAACTGCTTTAGAACATATCAATAATCTAGCTGGCGCAAAAGCTGATAAGAACGACGTCCAGGAGATTTTATACTTGGTCTTGAGATTTGCTGATAGTATCGAAAAGATAACAAAATTAAACGTATACCATGTCGGTGATAATTTAAACGTCGAAGTTGATATCATGTTGAATCCCAATTTCAATCTCAAAGATGGCCATGATATCGGAGAAGCTGTACAATATGCTGTTGAAACATTATCCAATGTTGAAAGATGTTTTGTTCACTTGGATTATCGAACTGGAAACTTCGATGGTCACTTAAAATATTCAACCTTCTAACTAATGATTGATAATCTGTATTTACTTTCCGGTTATCTTCCTATATTCTCATTATATATCTATTATATACCTATGATATACTTACTATATAGAGTTTTTGTTTCAGTAGACCAAACTACTATCTACATATTATCTTATTTTTACTAAAATTCTCGTTTTTTCTCTCTACCATCAACCTAAATTCTCTTTTAAACCCTCACTTTCCTTGCCCCGTTTTTGCTGCAAAATCAAAATCAAAAGCTCACTGCTTTCATTTCCTTTACTTTTATTGTATTTGAACAATATTGTGGAACCTCAGATATATAACAATAAATTATCAGAGTATTTGTAAACTTCTTTCAAAATGCCAAATGCCAATACTAGCTCAGGCACAGTTAATAACGAGATCAAGTACAACCACAAATTGTATCACAATTTTCAATGGCTAAAGCAAATAAGAGGATTGCCATCTTTAGACACATATGAACTCATCAATCAAGTCAAACAGACCTTCATCACAAAATACTTTCGTCAGTCTCAATCAAATAATTCGTCTCTACACCTCAAAACTGACCTCCAATCGACACCAATACCAATTCAAATGAGCAAGACTGAAAATATCCATGAAAAACATTTAGATACAATGATCACATTCACTACAACCCTTAAATCAAACTTAAAGGAAACAGCTGACATTTTAAATCAGGAATTAAACAAAGACATTGAAAATTTAAAATGGCTAGAAGAAATTGTCTCTTGATAATTATTAAGTAAGAATAGCTCTTCAATAAACATTCTCAACCTGCTTGGTTCGTCGCTCGATTCAATCAAGAACCATCGTTATTAGTAGACCAAAATAAAAAAAAGGGAAATTACAAATTCCTACTAAAGCAAGTATAAAAGAAAGAAAAAAAACAACCAATTACTTCATCGAGATTAGCAGTTTTTTTGAACAGATTTTTCATTAATGGTTGGTAATTATGCTTTTTAATCTCACCCCTTTGCTGCTTGCAAATTAAGGCTTTCTTTAAGGTAATGATTTCTATTCTGCTTCGAGAGCTGTTTGATCCGAACAACAGCCTAAACATGTTTAAACTTTGGGCATAACATTCGAAAGCCTTATTTAAAATGGCTTCAAGATCCCTCACCCTCATTTTATTTTCTTGTTTTTTTTATTCTAGTTTTCAATTTAGTTTCTTTATTTGATTTTATGAGTGCAACAGTAATTTCTAAAAATATCCTCTTGGTTGGTAATTCCTTTGGTGGATACTCCACTTTGAAATCGTTGGTTATCAATTTGACCAATACTTCAAAGACCTACTTAAACCCAACAAATTCACAATTAAATGTCAATATCACTCTTTTGGAACCAAGAGATGGGTTGGTTAATATCTTGGGGATTCCTTTATCAATAATTGATCCCAAATATGCTGCCACAACTTATTTCAACTTTGATCAAAATACCACTAATTTGCCAATAAATTCTAAAGACTCGTTATCTCTTTCTAATCATGTTCAGGTCAAGATCAATCACGTAAAGGAATTTTGCAGATTTCTACATCCAGACCATGCTATCACAGACAAAGACCAGGTCTTAAATTTTGATTACTGTGTTTTAGCAACCGGCAGAAAAAGAGATTGGCCATTTGATCCAAAGGGATTAACCAAAAATGAATTTATAAAGGAAATGGAAGAATCTTTAAAGCAAATTGAAGATGCAAAATCAATTGTTGTTGTTGGTGGTGGTGCATTAGGTGTCGAAGTAGCGGGGGAGATAAAACAACACTACCCAGATAAATCAGTTAAACTAATCCATCCACATGCAACGATTTTGAAAGAGCCAAAATTGCCTAAGGAATTTACTGAAACTTCAACCAAGCTTTTACAGGATAAGATCGGCAAAGAAAACACTCTTTTAAATACAAGAGTTTTGTTTGAAGAAAAAAAAAAAGGAGAAGAATCAATAACTGTAGTCACCAATAATCCCCAAAATAAATTGAAATGTGATTTGGTTTTGTGGTGCATTCATCATTCAAACAATATTAAATTTCTTGATTACAAAGATTCCAAATTTGCTGATTCAATCAATGAAAAGAATGAGCTCAAAATTAATGCTGATTGTTCTGTGAAAGGGTTTGAAAATAAAATTTTCGCTACTGGTGATATTACAGACTTGGACGTGATCAAGAGTGCAGGGGGAGCTGTTTTCTGTGGCAATATAATTGGCGAAAATATTACAAAATTAATACTAGCTCCATCAGAAATATTGAACCAAGTTGCTGTCTGGGGTCCTGGAATGGCCATCACTTTTGGAAACAACACCACCATAAGCTACCAAAGAGATACTCAGAAGACAGAGGTCAACAATCCTGAGATTTTGGAATTCTATAAGACCTATTGCAATTCCTACCTTGCTGCCAACCTTGGCCTACAATAAACTGTCTCTCTATAGAATCTTCTCAGCTATATATTCCACATTCAATAAAAAAATATTCTTCTGAAATCTTTGATACGTGAAATCTTTGATACAGATAAAGACCCATCATCCTGGACCCGTAATTTATGTAACAGTATGCATTATAGCGCATCTAGAGTTGTTTCCCTACCACTGGTACAGAAGCGCGATTTTATCACGTGCCTGTTCAATTTTTGAAAAAAAAATTTGGTACTTTTTCAGTGAAAAGTTTGATTCAGAAGTTTGGTCGATTTTTTGTTTTAGAAAACATTTTATTGAAGACACTGATCAATTATACCAGAGACAGCAACAGAGAAAGCTTTAAAATGTCCTCTCTAGCAGCACAGCTTTCCTCTATTGCTGCAGTAAACTCATCTGTGGCTTTGGACAGAAAGAAAAGATCCAAAATTCACAGTGTTTCGTTGATCTACGATCCAAAAGTAGCTGCTACTCAAGATTTTGAATCTATATATGCTGTTGCCTACGAGTCCTTATTGGATTTAGAAACTTTGGACAAGAGATTTTCCAAGTTCAAACTTTCATTGTTTGCTGAAAGCTCAATCTCTATCGATAGAAATGTTCAAACTGCTGAAGCTCTATCTAATTTAAACAATGGTATCGACTTATTTTTGAACATTTTATTCAGTTCAAATCAATTTCCCAATAATAAGGATACTTTAAACTGTTTGGAATGGTTAATTAGAAGATTTAATATAAATATTCACAAATCAAATGTCGAATCATTGCTAATAAATATTCTACCATACTATCAAAACCCAATTTTTCCAAGAATAGTCAGTTTAGCTCATGTTTCTAATTTACCACCTTTATTTAATTGGTTAGCACCATTTAAAAAACAATCTGCTCAAAAAATGTCACTTGTTGCAATTCTAAAAGCATTTCAAGATTTTGATTTTTTAAAATTATATATCAGCTATTTAACCGCCAAAATAAAGAAAAACTTACAGTACAAACAAGAGTTGATTTTCTTTATTAAAATTGTTTTATCTTTGCTATCAATCAACTCAAAAAATCAAGACTATTTAACTCAAATTACTCCCATTATTTTACAATTTTCCTCGCTTTTATTAAACTCGTCGAACCTTGATAATCAAATAACTGCTCATACTATTCTTCCAGTTTTATCTGCAACTTCTCCTTTAGCTTCCGAAGTTATTGATGCTGTTGTGGAGACTATTTTATCTTCAACATATAAATTCCCCATTAAAACTTCTATCGTATCAATTGTTAAAATTTACCAGTCAATCAACATTGATTTACTAGAACCTTTTCCCTTGAAGAATTTAAAACTATTGATTAAATTTTTCAAATCAAATGAAGAATATATCGATTTGATTTTTAATCAATGTGAAAATTCTTCCAACAAGTTTTTTTCTTCCTATTTAAGATCAATCATAATTAATCAAAATTCAGTTATCACATCTAATAATCATCATATCAACAAAATAATAAATCAAATATTACATTTTAGTAATTTTACTAAAAGCGAAAAAAGATTGATTTTAATTGATGCAGTAAAAATTGCTGACGCTAACAAAACAATCGAAAATTCTAATTTAATTACAATCTTTGAAAACTTTATCAACATTGATAAAGAATTAGTCAATTCTATTTTGACTGAAAATAATTTGGACTTCTCAAAGCTAGAAATTAGCTTACAAACTACTTTAATTCATAAAACCAATAAAAAAGGTACTGCCACCACTGGTTTGGTTTCAGAAATGATGGAGGTCGAAGAAGAAGAAACTGAAGATAATAAATCAGAAACCCAAAAATTTATCTCCACTTTACAATCAAACAAAACTGATACTTCATCATTTCTTTACACTGATAAAACAACTATCAACGAGTTTTCTAAATTGTTGCCTTTGTTTTCTGATTCAATTTCATTAAAATTGACCCAGAAATTTTTCACAGTTGTTTTTGAGCAAAAATCTTCTTTAATCACTTTTTTGACTAGAGTTTCTGTTTCTCAAGGCTGTATGTTGAAAATTAGACTTCTTTCTTTGAAAAATCTTAAAAATGAATTGTCAAAGTTGAATGATGTCTCTTTGATTCTGTTTTTACCTATCACTTTAGCCTTATTACTAGATCCTATTCAGTTTGTCCGTTCAATTGCTGGTGACTTATTGAAAATAATCAATAATAGTGATTTGGGTAAAGAGCCTTATTTGCTCAATCAACTTTATGATAGTAGTAATTCTACAGATGTTAATCTTTTAAACAAAGAAGATTCAAAAAATTTACTTGAAAAACTTATTCAAAATTTGAGTGGATTTATTATTGATAATCATCAATTATTTGGTTATTTTTCTTCTCAATTATTTAATACAAGAAAATTTGGGAAATTATATTTAGCATTCTTTGCAAATCAAATTCTATTAATTAAATTGCCTTACATAAAAATACAATTGTTATTGTTATTTTTAAATTTCCATAACAACCTGAAAATATCTAAATCTCTAAGAATTGGTCAATCATCTGAAATATTTAAAGAAATTTTAAATAACTATCCAAGCTTAAGAGATTTTTGGAAAAATTTTTGCGATTCATCCAAATTTGATTTTAAAATTTTTGAAAAGGCTATTGTTGACATTATTGGCTTTAAAGAAAAAGCAAGCACTGGAATTAATTTTATTAAAAGTTCTTTACTTTCAAATCATGAGCAATTGTCAAACTATGTATCTAATAAAGTAGTTTTAATTTGGAATTCATTGAAGTTTGACGTTCAACTCAATTTATTTAATACTATTTTAGATCATTATGCTGATACAGAAAATAATGATGTTTCTTATGATCCTTTGTTAACTTTGCAATCTTTAGATATTCAAAATGTTGACTTTTTCACTAATGTCTTCAAAGATTTGCAAATTTTTAAGAAAACTGCAACTTTAGATAATGCTAGGGAGTCTTTCAGCATTAATGGCTCATCTGCTTTTATTGCAAAGCGTAGAAGACGCTCTTCAAATTTAACAAAACAAGTTATGAAAAGAACTAGCGTTACAAAAGTTGCTGAATTATATTTAAAAAAATTAACTGCAATTTTAGAAATATATGAGAGAAAAGCTAAGTTGTATATTCCAACTTCGGATTTGCTAACAATTTTATTTAACTTATTATCTGATCTAGATACATTAGGCTCGGATGGAAATCTTCCTGTTTTATACGCTCAAGAGACATTGGCCAACTGTATTCTTTTGACTGTTGGTAACATCAAGGACAATTCAATTAGCTTGCAGACCAATCCTGTTAGAGCTGATTTAATTGTTTCATCTATTCGTTCTTCTCAATCACCTCAATTCCAAAACAAACTTTTGCTTGTTATTGCTTCATTAGCTAGAATCAACCCCGAGTTGATTTTGCATTCTGTGATGCCTATTTTCACATTTATGGGTTCACATACAATCAGGCAAGATGATGAGTTTTCAAACAACGTTATTGAAAAAACTATATTATACGTTGTTCCAGCCCTAGCTTCAAATGCTCAAAATGGAAAAGTAGAAGAGATTGAGTTTTTGTTAACAAGTTTTGTCAGCGCATTTAATCATATTCCAAGACATAGAAGAGTAAAACTTTTTTCAGCTTTAGCTAACACCTTATGTCCCAAACACTCGATTCATATTATTTTATTTTTGGTTGGTTGTCAATTTTCTGATTCATTAATTGAACATAAAATGGGTGAGTGTAGATCCTTGGTTGAATTCTCATCGTCGTTTTTAAAAAGATTTACTCCAAATGATCAATTGACCTCTATCAAATATTATCTTGAATTATGGAACGAGTTAAATCTTATCAAAGAGATCAATAGAAACAGAGAAGAAAATAACATTTCTGAGATTGATGAATCCTCGCTTAAAATTTTTGGTAGATCTATTTTTGGACCCAGTTTTGTTTATAAAAAAGTTTTGGATATCAGTCTATTGCAAAATAATCTTATTAAATATATTGACGGCAGTTTATTCAATTCATTGGATTATGCTGCTAATAGTCATACTTCTTTCATCAAATTGGGTGTTGCAAAATTATTTTTAACTTCAAAACCTTCCGATGAGATTTTCAAAACATTACTTACTAGTTTTAAAAATCTTATTCAAGACATAATGCTTGCAGTAAACCATTCCAGTTTTGATTCTATTAATGAAAAGGAAAATAATCCATTATTGGATTTGTTAAACAATATTTTAAGTTTATTACCATTACCGATGTTTGTTGACGCTATAATCGAACTCATTCAACCACTTAGTAAAGAACTATCGGACAATAAATTATTGAGTATTTCTTCTCAAGTTATTAGACTAACAGCAACACAATTTGATTTGGAATCAATAGGTAGTGAAAGTAACATTAATTGTGCAAATCTTTTTATTGAAAAACTTATCAATGTGTTAGATATTCAAACAAATATAGAGTTAAAACAAAGTTCATTGGATACTTTCAGTTCGCTAGTCAAAAGATTTGGCACTAAAATCAATGAGAAGTTTTTAATTAGAGGTTTAAATTTTATTACAGGAAGTTCATTAATTGATTATATTTCTAGCCCCGAGATTATTATTTCCTCTAATAATTTGATATCAAATATAATTACTGTTGTTGGTGTGAAGTCTGTCAGTTTTCTACCAAAAATTTTGAAATCATCTTTTGAAATATTTGACAGTTCAAAATCTAAAATTAATAAAAATAAACAAGATTTTGAGGAGCCCGAAGATTCTATGACAGATTTGTTGCAAACATCAATCATATTGTTATACTCCGGTATAATTCAAAAAATGCCAATTTTCATGCAAACAAACATTAGCAATGTTTTTATGATAATATTTAATTCCAATAACATCAATGAAAGTACTAGATTATTGGTTTTGAATTCAATTATTGAAAATATGGAAAAACATGTTGTTTTAAAAAGTCTTTGTTCATTATGGCCCGAGGTTTCTAAATCAGAAGTTTTTATTTCGGTTGGCTTGTTTTTGAATATTATTGGAAAAGTTGTTAATGATCTTGATAGAAAAACTGCTAATTTGAATGCTAGCATGTTTTTCAAATTTTTATTACTTGTTCTTGAATATAGAGTTACAAGTAAGTTTGATATTAATACTATTTATAGAATTGAATCATTGTGTTTTGACTGTGGAAATTCATATGCTTTGAAAACAGACGAAAGAATATTCAGACCATTGTTTTCATCAATAACTAGATGGGCATTTAATGGAGAGGCAGTCACCAATAAACAAATTAAAGAGGATCAAAGAATAACTTCATTTTTTAGATTTTTTAACAAATTTCAAGAAAATCTTAAATCTGTTGTTACAGCCTATTACTCTTATATTTTTGAATCTGTTATAAAATTATTAGAAAGATTTAAAAATGGTGATATAAATGACGTCTCTCTAAAACGATTAGTTTTTATGTCGTTGCTGATTTCTTTTAAATATGATTTAGTTGAAAAAGAGCAATCTGGATATTGGCAGGCGGAATCAAGATTTGATTCGGTTTCAAAAGGATTGACCGATCAATTATCTAATATTGATGATGGTATTGGAAAACACTTAGTTAAAAGTATTGTTACATTATCATACAAATGTAATAGTGATGAACATAATAAAAAAATGTGTGTTTTGTTGATTTCTCATATGAAATATGGTTGCAAATCAAAAGAAAAGCTTTGGGCAGCAAAAGTTTTGAAAGAGTTATATCAAAAAGTTGGATCAGAATGGGAAAATTTGTTACCACAATTGGTTCCAACTATTGCAGAATTATTGGAAGATGACGACGAGGAAGTTGAAATGGAAGTTAGAAGTGGTTTAGTGAAAGTTATTGAAAAAGTTCTTGGAGAACCGTTAAGCAAGTATCTTGACTGATTAGGTTTACTGGTATAGTGATTTTTTAATGATCTTTTAATTTTAGATTTAAAAATAAATATAAACATAAATGTGAATTAAAAAGAACATTTTAAGACAATGATTTTGCATAAAAATTAATTGTTCTGAGATTGTTGTATTATAATAATCTTTTTTTTTTCAACAACTTTAATGATATTCAAATTTGTGATATCATTATCTGCAAAGGTTTTATCTTCAAAACATTCAACCAAACAATTATTACGAGAACTATACCATTATACTAGATTTGCTTTTATTTTTTTGTCCTAGAATAGATTACCAAATGCAGTATCAATAAATAATGGTTTTTCTGGCTAGATAATTGAAGAAGATAAAAACTATTTTCATTTCAAAATTATTTTTAGAACCATTTTGTTTTAGAATAATAAAAGACTAAAAATAAAAAAAATAATCAAATCCAATTAAATTCTTTGATATTTTAAAAGATAAGAATCCTAATAGCCACCAAACCAACTTGATAGAATTATTTGAAAAATATTTTTTTTTTCTCAAACAATTTTATTATGCCATAACCCAAACAAAGCCAATATATTGAGCTGAAATAGTTTATAACATCTGTGGTGATTCAGCTTTTCGGTTTCTGCTATTGCCATATGGAATATATTTTATCATTTGTCAAGAAATTTGTGTCAATTAATCCTTTCAGAGAGAGTCGGTGATTGCTTTATTCCCCAGACCTTAGTCAGCAAGTATTAACATTATCTAAAATATGTTAAAATATCTAAAAAAACAACCGTAGGTTAAAGAATTCAATTTAATTTATTTAGAACAAAACCTTTAAATTTTTATAATAGAATAATTTTGCTCTAAATCTCAAACAGGTAAAAGAAAAATCTGATCAGGAAAAAACAAATACCGAATTCTCTTGTTTGAAAACAAGAGATCCCAAGCAAATCCGAACACGATTTCGATATAATTCGAATCTACGTAATTGCTTTATATACACTCTGAACGTATGCAAGTCAGTGCGTCATTATGTGTATTGACATATTTTGCAAAAGGTATCCAGTTTGTTGGCTGCACTATATTTACAAGTATTTCATAAGTAAATGTTGTCTCAAAAAAGCTATTTAGAAAGAAATATAAATTTCTCTTGATATTATTTGAAATCATTGCACTGGTTGAGCTTGTTGAACTTTTTGCATTTTTTCTATTTGAGCCTTTGCTATATCTTCTTGGTTTGGCATACCTTCTGTTAAGAGTTTATTGATGGAAAATTTTTGATCTGAAAGCATTTGTTTTTCCATTTGTTTTTGTTTTTCTAACATTTCTTGACCTTTTTCTTCCAAGAATTTTAAATAACTTTTATATTGTCTTTGACCTTCTTCACGAATTAAATCAATGTACATTTTGGGTTCATCGTCTTGTTTAATCCCGTTGCTGCTAACGTTTGCAGTGCTACCTAAAGGTTGTAATCCCAATAATTTAAATGCCCAATTTCCTTTATGGTTTTTCTTTTTCAATTCATATTCTTTTTTAAACTCTTCTCTTAATTTCATTTCTCTTTGATGGAATTCTTCGGGAATTTTGAATTTATCTTCAAAAGTTCTTATAATTGGTCTAATATCTTTAATATTTGGTTGAGCTGCTATATATTCTAAAATTGGAATCAATCTAATTAATTTATCATCGGGTTTACCATCCCAAGGTTTCATTCCAATTGCATTATCTGGTTGTAATTCGAAACAGTTTGGATCAGTATCAACAATAATAATTTTACCTAAATCTCTATTCATTAGTGACAAATCTTTTATTATCTTTCCGTCAACATATCTTGCTGCCTCTCTGTGCAATGCATATGATATGTGTAATTTGTTTGGATCCAATCTTTCAATTGTTCTTTCATTATACATGAAAGAATTGGATGAAAATATAACAATTTCGTAATATAATGACAAGTATGATAAAAAGTAGTCTAAACCTGGTCTCTTTGCTGTTCTCCAGCCACCATCTTTAGTCCATTCTGAATGAACTAATAAATTTTCTAATCCTATGACTAGTGTCAATGGTCTCTTATATGGTTCTGGTGGAGAAGGAGGTAACAATTCTTCAAATGCTGGTTCGGAGAAATAAGAAAAAATGGATTGGAATCTTTTTTTGAATCTTTCATACATTAACCCTGGAGTATAACCATTGTCGACATACGATTCTCCTGGTAATGTGATTTTTTCTTCTTCACCTTCGTCCCAGTTTCTGGCTAAATATGCTGTGCCTAATATAGTTGCCCCGACAAATGAGAAAAATGATAAATTACCCCATCTATCTCTTTTACGATCTAGGGAACTAACTCTTTTTCTTCTTTCTCTTTTATCGTTATCGCTATCATTTTCATTTTCCTTTTCATTTTCCTTTTCTTGCCTTTCAGCCTCTTCTATTTGTTTTTGTCTTTCGCTTTCCTTATGATGTTTTTCAATCTCATCGACTTCGAAACCAGCTTTAGCCAATATGTCGTCACTCAAAATAGAGCTTGGTTCATCTTTCTCGGTTTTTTTGCTTGATAAATAACGATTTGGGTTATAATTGATATTAATTTTTCTATCAAACAATCTTATCGAATTCAAAGTATTTCTCAAGTAGTATGATTGATGAAATTGGAATCTTCTAGAACCAATAATTGCTGATCTTGACAAAAAACTCATATTGAAAACGCGCAAAAACTTGTAAACGTAGATGATCCAACTACTTGCAATTAAAACACGTAGTAATGCAAAAAAACTAGTCCAACCAACAGCACTTTCTGGCTTTTAATCAGCAATCAGACTATCTTCTATGAAAATTTTTCTCTCAATTCTTGGTGGGTGCGAAAAAAGAAACCCTGGGTCCTGCGGAGGGTAAGCAACCACCGCTGTGGATTCAAAGCGACGTATTCGAAGCTTCAAATCAATGGCAATTTGGTGGCAATTCAATACACTACATTTGATTTAAGAGAAGCTACCCAATCCTTTTGATTAACACTAAACTAAACAAAACTAACGCAAACAAAAATAAAACTATAAAATAAGAAAGATAAAAAAGTTAAGAGTTAAGAGTTAAATGAGTTAAAAAAGTTAAAAAGTTAAAAAGTTATTGGTGGCCAATAGTTGCTTACAATAAAAGAGCAATACCAACACCAACAACACCAGCAGCGAGTGGAAAGCTGCCTTTTGCAACATTGTTTTCATAAATAGGTGGAACAACCGAAACACTATCATTTTGAGAATCAAAACCGCCAATTCCACTACCATCAGTATGTGGGCCTGTTTCATTAGAAGTATAGGAAAAAACACCTGTGGCAGCACTAGCGACGAGGACAACGTTTGAGAAGAACATTTTGAATTAATTATTAGTTGGCACTATAAGAGTAAATGAAAAACCAGAGCGAATGATGTAAATTGAAACTGTGTGTGTTCTGGGAATTCTTCTAATTAGAAATTTTCAATGGGCATTGCTGTTTATATATTAAAACAAAAATGAAAAAATTGATTTCAAATACTTCAAGCTTTATTGCTATTTTTTTCCATTTTGTTCCTCAACCTTTGTTATTTCCTTATTGCCTTCTTCAAAAGAAAATAACTGGAATAAAAGTGTATTTTGTCTGGTGTGTCATTTGCTTTTTAGAGAGCAAAAGAACAAAAAGATAAAAGCAAAGAACCAAAATAGTAGACCATTCTAGAATATATTGTCTAACACTCTTTTCTGCTCAGTATTGATCTCATAGGGAAATTGTGCAGTGCTTCTCATATCGCTTCTTATGAGTCTTGTTCCCAAAGGGCTTGGATCAAACCCTTTAATAATTGAAAAGAAATATAAATTCAATTTTTATGCTTTTGGAAATGTTGATTTTTTTTGTTTCTCTGTTTCTTGATTGCTGCGCTACTTTTACTCGAAAATTATGTATTAAAAGAAAAATTGTACAAAAAAATAGCTGTGCCAGAATAAAATTAAACAAACCACCACTAAAAAAAAAGATCAAAAGAAAAAGTTAAAAATTTCAGGCAATTTTAATGAAATGAATGAAGTAAACTAACAATAAAACAAAGAAAAATACAAGAACAATAAACTGTGTTAAATAAAAAAAATTGGCAAAAAAAAACGAATGACAAAAAAATTCACAAAATAAAAGCACAAAACCATCGCTCAACCGCCTCCCATTCCTGGCTCTCTTTCAACTTCTTTCTGCACCACAATTTCTTTACTTAGTAATGCTCTTAAACTTTCAGAGATTTTATAATTTTTATTTTTTTTATCACTTGTAGACTCATTAGGTTTCTTTTGTTCTGAAGGTTTAAATGTTTTAGTTTTACTAATTCTATTGGCATTGATTCTGTTGATTCTTGGATTGATATTATTGCTAGTAGAGGCATTATTGATGTCATTTTCAAGTTCAGTTTCAGTTTCTACTTCGGTTTCAACCTCACTTTCATTTGGAACTTTATACATTTTAGCCCTTTCTTTCATATCATTTTCTCTATCAATGATTTCTATCATTCTTCTAAATCTCAAAAATAGTAACTCTGAGCGGATTAATAAATCATTAATATCCATTGTCAATGCTAAATCATTAATGTATCTTAATACTTCATCAAATTGTCTTAAGTGTCTTTTAATTATCACTTCATGTTTCGATAAAATTGATAAAGCAAAAAATAAATGAAACTCTGAAGTATAGTAATCGGTCCAAAAGATTTCCCATAATCTTAAAGTATCATTAAATTCAAATTCTCTTTTAAACCAAACCAATAGCATTCTAAAAAAAAAGAATAGTTGATTTGAATCACATTTTTCCAAATGTAAATACAACTCGGGCAACATAAATTGAACTAACTCAGTTAAAACCAACATTTGGTTTTTCATACCTGACTGGTCCCTAACAAAATTTCTCTCCATTCTCTCCATAAATTTTGCAAAACACCAAAATGATAATGCATTATCTTGAAAGATGTAGTAAAGCGGAGATAATAAATCTGTCATACCTTGGACATAACCCAAGTTCTGATTGTATTCATTGTAAGTGATTAAAATTTCTCTTAGGTTTTTTAAATGTTCATTTTTAATATTAGAAATATTATGTTCTTCGTCATCGTTATCGTTATGATCATTGTCGTTATCGTTATCGTTATCGTTATTTTCATCTTTATTATGACTTTGATTTTGTTTATCTTTTTGAGTTGATGATTTTTTTGGGTTTTTATAAAGTGACAAATCACGATCAGTTCTGTTTATATCCTTTTCAATTCTAAATTTTTGATCTACCCAATACTCATCTTTTTGTTTTTCTTCTATATCAATTTTCCATAAATTTAGATAATGCTGATAGTCAGATCTTAAAGATTTAATAATTTGATTTCTTTCAAAAGTTGAAGAATCCCAGGGAACTACATCTAGTAAGAATAACCAAGCTTGGGATCTGATTGTTTCATTTAAACCACCATGGAAGATTCTTTCTTTGACTTCATTAACGGTTAAAATTAGATTACCATTACTATCGAAAAATGAGCTCCATTCAACTGGGGAAATTTCTTTTCTTCTATGAATCTTTGAGATTTCTTGAATAGATAAGTTTGAGAAATTTCCACCCAATTCTTTGTTTAATAAGTTTTGATAATTTTTATCAAGAATTAAATCAATTTTATTTTTTTCGGCTTGTTCAGAAATAGCCAAAGCCCATTTAGCTAAATAAACCCTTGCAGTATCAAAATCGTTATTAATTTTAACAACTTCAGGTTTGTTTAATAGAGCTTTAACTTTGGGGTTTTCTTCTACTAATTCGTCGACTTTTGATTTTGCCAACATTGATACTCTAGCTAAAGATTCTAAAATTGTCCATTTAGCGCTTGTAACTATTTTATTGACACTAATATTTTGTAAAGTGTGTCTAATTTTTTCGATTGATTCATTAATATTGTTATTGTTTGCCCCTTGGTTATTTGGATCATTTTTGTTTATTGATTTGTAATCTGTTGTTACTAACTTTGTATAATTCAAGTCATCAGAATTTGGGTTAATTAAGAAAAAGGATGAATCTAGAGATGATCTTTCAACTAGAATATACTTTTTTAAGATAGTGAAGAATTGGTCGCCACCCCAAAATAATTGACCTTCATTATTTGAAGAAAACGGATTAAAGTCTTTATTTTTAAATTTTTGTTCCTTTTGAGTAGAGATTGATTCATCATCATGGAAGAATAAAATTGGGAAAGTATCAAATTGAGACCTTGAATTGATTATTATTGAACCCCACCACCAACCTAATGATGGAACTCTTGCCTGAATCGAAAAAATATTTGATAATGGAGTTTGGAATGAGTAAGCACCCATAGATTGCAAAATTGAGCTATTTATGAAGAAAACTTTCTTTTTATTGGTGTTGAAAGAATTAGGGAAATTGTGGTTATCATGGTTGTTGCTATTATAGTTTGATTTATACTGATTTAAATTGATATATAAATCACAAGATTCAAAGATAGCTCGATCATTTGAATTTGATAAAGTTGATTCAGGAAACCAGGTTAATAATATTTCATTATTAATAGAAGTGGGATATACTTTGATTAATGATAAAAACCCAGAAATGTTGTCGCTTTTATTTTTGGTTAGATGGATATATACTTTTGATTTTGTCCATAATAATTTGGCTTTACCTGGGGGATAGGTTGAAATTTTTTTTTTTCTTAGTGAGTTATAGGGAGATGAATTATTCAAATTGATATTAAGATTGTCATTGGAATTATCATTGGACTTGGTTAACGATAAGGGATTGGTAACTGCGTCTGATAGGCTTCCGCCATTTGACAGATTAGGAGATTTCTCCTGTGATTGTAAAGTGTTTTTGTGGGTACCCATTTGAGGATCTGTGCTGTAAAATAGAGAGACTGTGCTGACAATAGTATCTGGAGTTAATTGGGTAGAAGGTAACACTTCCTCCAGCTTCTGGTTTTATATATCTTGCTCCAGTTTCAAAACTCCAAAAACTGTTTAACAACAGATGACGCTTGATTTCTAAACGTGAGCTGCTTTCAGCAAAAGGGCTATACCTGGTTCGCGCAACCGGGAGAGCAACCAGGAACAGCACCGAGCAACTAAGTCCACTATGGGGTTGTCCCTGAGGAAACGGGCCAGTCTGGGGAGGCTGGGCCTGGGGCAGCACAGGCAGCACAGGCAGCACGTGATGCAATTACAGCAGGCCCCGATTGCTGGAACTGTGTTTCTTGCAGCTAGAACTGCAAGAGCTGCAGGAGCTGCAAAAACAAAGGTGTCTGGAGAAGAGAGGTCTACTAAGGCCTGGCTCATAGACATCCCTTCACAGACAAGCTGTTGCTCTAATTCCGGTGCTAAGAACCGAATTAGGTTTTTCAGAAGTTTTCGGGACGCCGGTCAGCTGATCCAGTACTTGATTCAAACGGTCAAATTGATTTTATTTTTAATTCCGACTGGAATTAAAGAAGATTGTGAATATACTAAAAATATTATTTGAATACCTTTAATTATCTTGTATACAACAATAGTATCTGTTATTGATATGCTTACTTTGGTTGCAATTATTATGAAGTTCATACATACATAATACTCATTTTTCACAAAACCCAAGAGGAAACCAACCGAATTTCTAATGATAAGCTAAATGGAGCGTGACTTTGTGCTAAAATATTTTAGCATGTCTCTGAGTATTTTTAAGTTTTGTACAATATTACTTCAAAACTAAAAACATACCAGCAGATTTGTCTGTATGAAATTCTTGTTGAACAGATTTTTGGTTGTTCTCAGCAATTGTTTTATTGGTTCAATCTCATGCATGTCAATGCATGGCATCCGAAGAATTACGCATACTATATATATTTCCAAAAGAAAACCTCACTATTTATATATCGATATTTTGTTCTGTTTTCATAGAAATAAACATGTTCGATGTATCGTCTATAGCCAGCAAGAAATACATCAATATTGAACTTGGGATCTCAAAAAAAGTCACACCAAATATATTAGATGGATTACCACCTCACATTCTCAATGCTATTTTGACCCAACTCTCCTTTAATCAAAGATTTACTACTAGTTCAAGAATACACACTAAAAACAATACTGATTGATTTTGATGCGTTAATTAATTGCAACAAGAATGAAATTCAAAATTCATCTAGCACAACACTGAGTTGTGATTATCCTGAATATTTAAATATTGATCCCCAATCTCTCTTCCTCAATCAATTTTTCGATTTATTCAACATAACTACTTTGGAATTGAATGGATTGAAACTATTCTAAATGGAACAAATAGAATTTGAAGAATTCCATACATCAATCAAATTTAAAAATGTTCAAAATGACAAATAATATGTTTTCCAATTGAGGAGTTTAGAATTTCCTAAAGAAATAAAGTACCTGGATTTTTACTTTTAATACAATTAGAAGTATTAAATGTATCGATAACTGTTTTAAGAATCTAGTAAATCTATTCCACAATCAAATCGAGAAAATTGAAAACACTGAAAACTTAGTTAATTTTACAAATATTGATTTATCCAACAACAAAATCAATGAGATGGCTATTCCAAACAATGAAAAATACCCAGAGAATTTAAATTCGTTAAACTTATCAAATAATGCTATTAAAAGGCTATCAATGATCAAAGAATTAAATAATTGCTCATACATAGACCTAAGATGTAACAAAATAAAAACAAT